TTTTTCATCATCTCTCATTTTGTCTCTCTTTCAGTAATGGTTACTCTATGTTCTGTGCTGAGCTGATGTCCAGTATGAAAGACGTTCCCAGTACAGAGCGTATGGTCATGTGCAGCCAGCGCTGGAAACTCCTCAAACAGAGCGAGAAAGATGCCTACCAAAAGCGCTGTGAGCAGGTTTGTAACGCATTACTTTTATTTTGTATCCTTCCTTCTGTTTGTAACAAACAAACCAACATGGATGCATATGAAAGTTTGTCCATCTCTTTCATTTTTTTTCTGCTCTACACAGAAAAAGAAAGAATATGAAGTTGAGATGAATCGTTACTTATTAGTAAGTATACTTTTATAACAACAGACTCTTGGCTCTCTGTGCATTTTTTGCACCATTTTCTGTTAGGTTTGCATTTTAAACATGTTGTCTGTGAATCCCAGAGTATCTCAGAGGAGGAACAGCAGAGAATACTGTCAGAACAGAAGATGGGCAGCTTTAAAAAGGGAGGTGGAGGCAGTAGTCCCGCTTCCAAAAAGAAGAGCTCAAAAGCAAAGGTCAGTTCAACAGTCAGTCATTTTTGTGTAATTTAAAGGATTAGTATTTAAGTGAGCTTTAGTCACTAAAACGTCATTTCTTTAATTCCCTTTTCCTCTTTTTTATTTTTTATTTTTTAATCCCAACAGTCCAGTACAGAGAAGCCCAAGCCTCCTGTCTCTGCAATGTTTATTTTCTCTGAGGAGAAGCGCCCAAAACTTCAACAGGAAAAGCCTGATCTTTCTGACATGGAGCTCACCAGACTACTGGCCCGCATGTGGAATGAGCTTTCTGACAAGAAGAAGGTAATCATGACACTTTAGTGACCCAGAGATGTTCAGATCCTTCTGTTACTGTGTTAGCCAATTCAATTTTATTCAACTTCTGTAATCTTTCTTGTAGGAAAAGTATAAAAACCTGGAGATGACGCTGAAGGCAGAGTCTGAAAAACAGAGCAAAGAGGACAAAGGGAAACTACCAGAAACGCCCAAAACAGCTCAGGATATCTGGCAACAAAGCGTCATTGGAGACTATCTTGCCCGATTCAAAGTATGGAATCATAATTGCAAAAAATTTCAGTGGAAAGAGCTTGGGTCGGGGTTGGGTTTTTGACTAGAAGTTTCTTTTTCTCACCAGAGTAGCATTTATTTGGTCACAAATACAGTTAAAACAGTAATATGAACAGCATCTATTTGAAATAGAAATCTTTTGTAACATGTCTTTATTGTCAATTTTCTGTCACTGCTCTCAAAAACTGAACAGACAACATGAAGCAGTTATTAAAGGGTTACTCCACCCCAAAATGAAAATTTTGTCATTAATCACTTACCCCCATGTCGTTCCAAACCCGTAAAAGCTTCATTCGTCTTCGGAACACAATTTAAGATATTTTGGATGAAAACCGGGAGGCTTGTGACTGTCCCATTGACTGCCAAGTAAATAACACTGTCAAGGCCCAGAAAAGGATGAAAGACATCGTCAGAATAGTCCATCAGCCATCAGTGGTTCAATTTGAATTTTATGAAGCAACGAGAATACTTTTTGTACGCAAAGAAAACAAAAATAACGACTTTATTCAACAGTTCGTCTCCTCCGCGTCACCTTGGTGCGGCTGACACAGAATAGCATACGCAATTTGCGTTCAGTGGATACTCTCCAAAATGGAGCTACGGTGACGCGGAGGAGACGAATTGTTGAATAGTCGTTGTTTTTGTTTTCTTTGCGTACAAAAAGTATTCTCTTCGCTTCATAAAATTCAGATTGAACCACTGATGGCTGATGGACTAATTTTCTGGGCCTTGACAGTGTTATTTACTTGGCAGTCAATGGGACAGTCACAACACAAGCCTCCCGGTTTTCATCCAAAATATCTTAAATTGTGTTCCGAAGACGAATGAAGCTTTTACGGGTTTGAAACGACATGGGGGTAAGTGATTAATGACAAAATTTTCATTTTGGGGTGGAGTA